CTCTACTGAGGCCTTGAATGTTGTTACCTTGATCAAACAACTTCTGAGCAAGAGTCCTATGACACTCTTTGAAATCTTGGTAGAAAGTGTGGGATACTACAGTTGTAGACCCATCAGACAATGTTGTTAGAACCGTTTAATTTCTTTCAATGACACGGGGAATATGCGTCTCCCATTTTATCGCATATTAATCAAAATAAAACAGAATTATTCAAAATAGTTATATATGGTTTTTTTTCATGTAAGAATCAACAGGACACGATACATTCCTCTGCAATCATTCCAAGGTTTAGCTTCCAGCTCTGATCATTGTCACTACGTGTCCGGGCTGTTAGAGTGTCATGTTCCTCAGGAGATCGAGCTGATTGAATAGTTGAGTTTAAACATATTTCATTCTCATTGACAGTTTTGGGCACAAGTTGTCAAGCTCCCCCATATATAGATTTACATCTATGCTATTAAATTAAGTACATTAAATGACAGAAGGGAAAGAGGAGAAATAGTGAAACAGATCTACATTCACATTACTCACTCAAATCTTTAGGTTTTCGTTACATATGTGTATGCATTCCATCACATCATCATTGCCAACTGACAATATTTTGATCACAAGCATATTTCACAATTAACAATAGTGAGAACATCAATTCGTTTCTAGCTGATTAATAAAATGGACATTCAATGAAACAGTGATATGAATTTTCACATGAGCTTTAGATCCACGTTTTAAACTTATTCTAAATGTATCATTTTTTAATTCACAATCTTCCATGTCTTCATTTTGTATGTTTTATGTTACATTTGAATGAATTATGTTCAGCATACCACGACTGAGCATACACTAAGCTTTCTCATTGAATAAATCATCTTCATATAATAATTATCCTGTATTTCAGTGTGATTTCTACTACATGTCCTACGCCTAGCGATATAGGTGTATGAAAACCTTACCTCCGGAGCAGCAACTACAGGATAAATAGAAAGTACAGAAAATACAATCCATAGGTAATAGCATCTGGACTTCTCTTATGTAATCATAACTTGTATCAGGCTCTGATGATATGATTATGTCACACCTGGTGCAGGCAGATTATATCATGCACACGACAAACACGTTTACGCCACACAACAAACATGTTTACACCACACAACAAACACGTTTACACCACACAACAAACACGTTTACACAACACAACAATCACGTTTACACCACACATCAAACTCGTTTACACAACACAATCAACACGTTTACACCACACAAAAAACACGTTTACACCATACAACAAACACGTTTACACAACACAACAAACACGTTTACACCACACAACAATCACGTTTACACCACACAACAAACACGTTTATACCAAACAACCAACACATTTACACCACACAACAAACATGTTTACACCGCACAACAATCATGTTTACACAACACATCAAACACGTTTATACCACACAACAATCACGTTTACACCACACAACAAACACGTTTATACCACACAACCAACACATTTACACCACACAACAAACACGTTCAAACCACACAACAAACACGTTTACACCACACAACAAACACGTTTACACCACACAACAAACATGTTTATACCACACAACCAACACATTTACACCACACAACAAACACGTTTACACCACACAACAAACACGTTTATACCACACAACCAACACATTTACACCACACAACAAACACGTTCAAACCACACAACAAACACGTTTACACCACACAACCAACACGTCTACACCACACAACAAACATGTTTATACCACACAACAAACATGTTTATACCACACAACCAACACATTTACACCACACAACCAACACGTTTACACCACACAACCAACACGTCTACACCACACAACCAACACGTTTACACCACACAACAAACATGTTTATACCACACAACCAACACATTTACACCACAAAACCAACACGTTTACACCACACAACCAACACGTTTACACCACACAACAAACACGTTTACACCACACAACCAACACGTTTACACCACACAACAAACACGTTTACACCATACAACAAACACGTTTATACCACACAACCAACACATTTACACCACACAACAAACACGTTTACACCACACAACAAACATGTTAATACCACACAACCAACACGTTTACACCACACAACCAACACATTTACACCACACAACAAACATGTTTACACCACACAACAAACACGTTTATACCACACAACCAACACATTTACACCACACAACAAACACGTTTACACCACACAACAAACATGTTAATACCACACAACCAACACGTTTACACCACACAACAAACATGTTTATACCACACAACCAACACGTTTACACCACACAACAAACACGTTTACACCACACAACAAACATGTTTATACCACACAACCAACACATTTACACCACACAACCAACACATTTACACCACACAACAAACATGTTTATACCACACAACCAACACGTTTACACCACACAACCAACACGTCTACACCACACAACCAACACGTTTACACCACACAACAAACACGTTTACACCACACAACCAACACGTCTACACCACACAACCAACACGTCTACACCACACAACCAACACGTTTACACCACACAACAAACATGTTTATACCACACAACCAACACATTTACACCACACAACAAACACGTTTATACCACACAACCAACACATTTACACCACACATCAAACTCGTTTACACCACACAACCAACACGTTTACACCACACAACAAATACGTTTACACCACACAACAAACACGTTTATACCACACAACCAACACATTTACACCACACAACAAACACGTTCAATCCACACAACAAACACGTTTACACCACACAACCAACACGTCTACACCACACAACCAACACGTTTACACCACACAACCAACACGTTTACACCACACAACCAACACGTTTACACCACACAACAAACACGTTTATACCACACAACAAACACGTTTATCCCACACATCAAACACGTTTACACCACTCAACAAACACGTTTACACCGCACAACAAACACGTTCAAACCACACAACAAACACGCTTACACCACACAACAATCACGTTTACACCACACAACAAACATTTTTACATCACACAACAAACACGTTTACACAACACAACAAACACATTTGCACCACAGAGCCAACACGTTTACACAACACAACAAACACGCTTACACCACACAACAATGCGGTTTACCCCATACAACAAACACGTCTACACAACACAACAAACACGTTTACACCACACAATCAACACGTTTACACCACAAAACAAACAAGTCTACAACACACACAAAACACGTCTACATCACACAACAAACACGTCTATACCTCACAACAAACACATTTGCACCAAACAGCCAACATGTTTACGCATTACAACAAACACGTCTAAACGACACAACAAACACATTTACACAACACAACAAACACGTTTACACCACACAATCATCACGTTTACACCACACAACAAACACGTTTACACCACACAACCAACACGTTTACACAAAACAACAAACACGTCTATACCTCACAACAAACACATTTGCACCACACAGCCAACATGTTTACACATTACAACAAACACTCCAAACGACACAACAAACACATTTACACAATACAAGAAACACGTTTACACCACACAATCATCCCGTTTACACCACACAACAAACACGTTTACACCACACAACCAACACGTTTACACCACACAACCAACACGTTTATACCGTTTACACCACACAACCAACACGTTTACACCGATTAAACCAAAAAACCAACACGTTTACTCAACACACAGTACAATCAACGCGTTTACTCAACAGAACCAACACGTTTAACCCACAGAACCAACACGTTTACACCACACAACCAACACGTTTACACCACATTATACACATTTCCATGATGAAGGGGACAACCCTGGTAGAGATGATTACATTCCTGTCACTGTTCCATCTTTGTTGTATCATTCTGATCTCCGAGTGCAGTTTGTACCGACGACTAAACGAAGCTCACTGCCTTTAGTCCTCGGTGTTGTTACCGATTCCAGGCGAATGCTTCCCGTTTATGGTACATGTTTATCTTCTCCATCTTGTGCCACGTGTTTATCTGTACATTTTACCACGTGTTTATCTTTGTATTGTACCACGTGCTTATCTTTATATTGTACCACGTGTTTATCATTATATTGTACCACGTGTTTATCTTTATATTGTACCACGTGTTTATCTTTATATTGTACCACGTGTTTATCTTTATATTGTACATGCTTATCTTTACATTGTACCACGCGTTTATCTGTACATTGTACCACGTGTTTATCTTCACATTGTACCACGTGTTTATCTTCACATTGTACCACGTGTGTATCTTTACGTTATACCACGTGTTTATGTTCACATTGTACCACGTGTTTATCTTTACATTGTACCAGGTGTGTATCTTTACATTATACCACGTGTTTATGTTCACATTGTACCACGTGTTTATCTTTACATTGAACCACGTGTTTATCTGTACATTTTACCACGTGTTTATCTGTACGTTGTACCACATGTTTACCTGTATATTGTATCGCATGTTTGCTCAGTTGCCCAGTCTTTAATTAGTTGTGCCGTTTATTATTTGGAAGAGTATATATGCTTGTGTCATTTGGGTAAAGTATGTAAAATGAAGGGCAGGAACGGTGACCACTTCCAGATCATAAGAATGTCACTGTATGTGCTTACAATAGTTGCATAATTTATCATGTTATCATGTAGTGAAAACAACAGAATGTTATATATTCTCAATATAATATTATTTACAGGTGATATATTTATTTCGTATTTTATTGTTCACCCAACATAATGCCGGACAAGGCGACACTGGCCTTAAGTACAGATTAGATTCACAACTTGCGGACAAAAACACCCATGTAGAATTATTATGTTAACATTTTTTTTATTTCAGAATATTCGCACGAGGTTTGAAAACAAAATGATATTTACAAAGTGGTCAAAAGTAATAAATGTTTTATTTGTGATAACACTTCCTTCTGTAAAGTACAGATTCTCGTACTTTTGGGGGTTGAATCCTGTCCGGGATTCCAGCCCACACTGCCAGGGTGAGGCACTTAATCGCCGACACACAAAGTCAGCGATCCAACCAACTCCGACACCGAGGCTTCCACAAAATTTAGATGTTACATTTATTACTTTCCTTTCATTATGAAAAGTCTCTTTTCAGATCGGTTCCGCCTGCTGATCCATGTCAGGTCCCTCTTTCCTCCGGGCTTGTTGCTACTCCGTGACAGGAAGAGATACGTCGTCATAACGGCCAGCAACACTACGAGGGACATTGCCCATTCAAACCAACGATGAGATCTTATGAACAATAATGAACAATATTCGGGAGGTGGTGGGAAAGGCTGTTACTAGTCTTTCTAAACCGGAATCCAGAATGTGTTTGTGTTTCATATCAACTGCGTTGAGTTGCAATATGTGGTCCAGATCTAAATTTCCTTTGACGGAACATTTAAAAATATCTCGGTTCTCTCCGGATAGTTCTTGAATTGAAATATTTTAATGACGCCATTACTTCAATCCAACGTTGGTTGCCACACTTTGTCTTGGACTAAGCCATTTCCGTACTTGAGTGTGGCTATGGAGAAGGAAACATAGGTTATTACTACTATCGATGTGTGTGGCACACATGTAACATGTAATGAATATGGAGTTATGTCACGTTGGACTGTAATACATCGCTAGGAATCATATCAGGTCATGTGAAGACAAGAAGATACATGTATAAATATGTAGTTGTCATTCAGCTGATCGGTCACGAGTTTTGCTGTATTTACATCCCATTGTTTTCAGATAATACAAAGTAAATAAGATACATGTATCTGAATACATGAAATATTATAATAGTGTCAGTAAGTTAGCTAATCAGATGCAGGTTTTATAATGTCCCCGAGTTCAGGGACTGTCACATACCTCTTTCACGGCAGGCGAATCATCGTGTTTCTTCTGCCAGCACCGGTACAGAGTATTGACGACAGGGGTGATCAGTGCAGGGTCGGTTGACACGGGTTCCCCATGACCTGGAAGACGAGGTAGTTCAGTGATGTTGGTAAAGATCGCTCAGGGTAACTCTGTGTTGTTGGTAAATAGAGCTGTCGTAATTAAGCGATGTTTGCAAATAGTGTTATGAGTCATTGAGTGATATTGGTGAATGGTGATGTGGGTAATTCAGTGATGTTCGCAAATTGCGCTATGTGAATTTCAGTGATGTTGGTAAAAAATACTGTGGGTAATTCAGTGATGTTGGTAAATATCACTGTAGATAATTCAGTGATGTTGGTAAATATCACTGTAGATAATTCAGTGATGTGGGTAAATATCACTGTAGATAATTCAGTGATGTTGGTAAGAAATACTGTGGGTAATTCAGTGATGTTGGTAAATATCACTGTAGATAATTCAGTGATGTTGGTAAATATCACTGTAGATAATTCAGTGATGTAGGTAAATATCACTGTAGATAATTCAGTGATGTTGGTAAAAAATACTGTGGGTAATTCAGTGATGTTGGTAAATATCACTGTAGATAATTCAGTGATGTTGGTAAATATCACTGTAGATAATTCAGTGATGTTGGTAAAAAATACTGTGGGTAATTCAGTGATGTTGGTAAATATCACTGTAGATAATTCAGTGATGTTGGTAAATATCACTGTAGATAATTCAGTGATGTTGGTAAAAAATACTGTGGGTAATTCAGTGATGTTGGTAAATATCACTGTAGATAATTCAGTGATGTTGGTAAATATCACTGTAGATAATTCAGTGATGTGGGTAAATATCACTGTAGATAATTCAGTGATGTTGGTAAATGGCACTGCAGATAATTCAGTGATGTTGGTGAATGGCACTATAGATAATTCAGTGATGTTGGTAAATATCACTGTAGATAATTCAGTGATGTTGGTAAATATCACTGTAGATAATTCAGTGATGTGGGTAAATATCACTGTAGATAATTCAGTGATGTGGGTTAATGGCACTGTAGATAATTCAGTGATGTGGGTAAATATCACTGTAGATAATTCAGTGATGTGGGTAAATATCACTGTAGATAATTCAGTGATGTGGGTAAATGGCACTGTAGATAATTCAGTGATGTTGGTAAATATCACTGTAGATAATTCAGTGATGTTGGTAAATATCACTGTAGATAATTCAGCGATGTGGGTTAATGGCACTGTAGATAATTCAGTGATGTTGGTAAATATCACTGTAGATAATTCAGTGATGTGGGTAAATATCACTGTAGATACTTCAGTGATGTTGGTAAATATCACTGTAGATAATTCAGTGATGTGGGTAAATATCACTGTAGATAATTCAGTGATGTGGGTAAATAATACTGCAGATAATTCAGTGATATTGGTGAATGGCACTGTAGATAATTCAGTGATGTAGGTAAATATCACTGTAGATAATTCAGTGATGTGGGTAAATAATACTGTAGATAATTCAGTGATGTTGGTGAATTGCACTATAGATAATTCAGTGATGTTGGTAAATTTCACTGTAGATAATTCAGTGATGTAGGTAAATAATACTGTAGATAATTCAGTGATGTTGGTAAATATCACTGTAGATAATTCAGCGATGTGGGTTAATGGCACTGTAGATAATTCAGTGATGTTGGTAAATATCACTGTAGATAATTCAGTGATGTCGGTAAATAATACTGTAGATAATTCAGTGATGTGGGTAAATAATCTCGTGGGTAAATCTACGAATGAGGGGAGGATCCGTGAAGGGCGTGTAGGTCGGGGGCTGAAGCCTTCGTATATTATCGGGGTGGGGGAGAGTGGGGTCATTTCTTTCATTTTTAAAAAAGCAAAATAATCAAGTTGTAATAAAATTCAACCATGCCCTTTCCAGTTCAGCCGATGCTCGCACAATGTTTCACAACCGTTTGATAAACCTGACCTCTGAGAGAATCCTATGTGAAAATATTAGAACAGTATTATATATGTTATAACTTTCGTTAAAGGACATCTAAAAGTGCTCCCTGAGATCTTGCGTTTCCAACCACTGATATGGTACCTGTAATGAGACTCACGACCACGCCTAGGATGACGTTGACAAGGGCCCCGGACGCTGTGTAGTACAGGAAAGACATTTGGTAGATGCCGAAGGAGGTGTTCCTGAATCAAACATAACAGATGAACATTTTTTCGATAAACATATAAAGACTATGGAATTATTCCTGAATTCTTCGTTTAGCAGGCCATGTGTGACATGTAGCCATTGAGGTCCCACTCACCCTCAGCAGAGCTTAAAAAGTTGCCACTGCGCATGAAATTCCTGAGCATCAAAAACACCAACAAATCTGAACTCGTAATGCTTTTCTTCTATCTGCATCAGCATACAGCATCACTCCCTTGGTCACTGGATCATATAACTGCAGAACGAGTTATAGATCAAAGACTGTGGTATACCTACTCGTCAGAAGCCACTGTGGGGGGCAAGGTAGTTGTTGTTGGCAAGGTGGAGTTGGTAGCGTTCCAGTTGCAGCCGTGGACAGACAAGTGTGATACTGGCGCGGTGACGCCATTGAAAAATGCTCCAACAGAGATCCACGTCATGAAGACGAGACTGCAGATGTAGCCACACAAAGCCCCCTGCGAGAAAGATACTCTGTTCACAACTGCAGGTGACAGTCCATAAATGTGGCATCATATTCCAGGTACATAGATTGTTTCTGTTCATTGTCATGCATATTGCACGATGTAGTCCATATATGACTACGGCTGCTAACGGTGGGAATACATACATACTTCTGATATACATGGACCTTTTTTCTCTTTAGACATTAAAGACATGTTGTCCAAATTATTCTTGAAAGTCAAGCATGTCGGTGTTTACACCACATACTTATTGATGCACGGGACAGGCTATGCTTCTGATCCGGCGACATAAGTAGCTGAAATATATCACAGACTGGAGGCTCAATAAAAGATTCCTTCTTTCCGTCAAAACTTTCATGACGTCACTCCTTTGTACACTTCATTTGATCCTTTATCTTTATTTACAGAAACAATAGAATGAATCTGATCCTAAACTCGGAAGTTAATCCTCACCCATTTATTGGCTCGAGGGAAGAACATGCCCAGGACGAAGACTCCAAACACAGGTCCGTCGAAGACACTCATGATGATGTAGGAAAGCTGAAAGCACACACGTTAGAGCATCGTCTCAAGTCATCTCACATCTATTCCAATAACAATCGTCTATGAAGCAGTGATGATGTCACAATATTCAGTTCATTCACAAATTGAAAGCAAATGACATTCTCTAATCAATAATACTTTTGTTTGAAAGAAAGGAGTTAGGAAATTAAAACTTGATCACAATTTTAAAGGATGCAGTCAATTCTTTTTAAATTGAAAGGTACTGTACTAAAAAATTGAAATATCCACACACTTTGGCCGGATTTCCTGATTGACAAATTCTTTAGAGAGAGAACATTGAGACAAGTAGATGCTGTTCCTGTGGCTACTGATTGTGCTCCTTCTCCAAGCTGATACGTCTTTCTATTTCTTGTAACGAATCAGATTTGTTACTTCTCTAGTTAAATCAAAGAAAGGACCTAATGCCATAAAACGTTACCCTATGTTTTAGATATATAGATGATCTTATTTCTTTCAACAATGCCAAGATAAACGCGTCTCTTCACCTCATGTAGCCGTGGGAGTTGAGCATCCCAGGAACAACTGAGAAACCTTATTGTGTATCCTGCCAGGATATCAGAGAGTTGCAAAATGATGGCCACCCTTGTACCAATCTTTGCGGCATGAGGATGATTTCAATTTTTATATTGTGAATTTCCCTTTCGTATTGAGTAACATACCGTCAGCCCCAGCTTATGGCGTCTGCATTAGTCAGTACTGTTGTTAAGATACTCCAGAGCATTACGTGTTATTCAAGCTTCATGACACAACGCAGGTTCTAAATCAAGTTTTCAGCATCATTCCAGGAATCTAATGGTGTACATTCAGAAGAAGTTACTAAATGTGACACGTCACTCTCACTCGTCATGACGCGCGACGCTTCCCCGTACTATGACACTGACATGTAGAGGTCACACCTGGCTCATCGGCACTGAATGGATCGGGTGACAGCGATCTACAGCGAGTGACACAGCAGCCGTGTGACCTTAGCAAGGACCATCTCACACTAACCTGTAACATATTCCCAAAGTTGCCGGCGACAAATGCAAGCCCGATACACAACCCCCCACAGAGGGCAGCTGAAACATAAATCAAGTTCACACACGTACATGTACAATAGAAGTTCTACATCAAGCAGTCCATGCACTTCCTTATCATGAATAACTCCACTTATCCTTTGTTTGTGACGTGGGCAGGAGGTCCTAATGTTGCTGCCTCAGTGCTGTCACAAGGCGATAACTGTGTCGTTTCAGAACGATTGTTGCAACTGTTTACATGCATTCTTCATGGATGTTTATATGCATTCGTTTTGCTACAGTTTATATGCATGCTTGCTGATACTGTTCATATGCATGCTTGCTGATAGTTTATATGCACGTTTGCTGCTATTGTTTATACGTATGTTTTACGCATGCTTGGGCAGTGGTGAAATCGTTCGAACGTCACGCCGAAGACCCAGGTTCGATTCTCCACATGGGTTCAATGTGTGAAGACCATTTCTCGAATTAACCACCGTGCTTGTTAAGGAGAATTACTTAAAGCGGAGTAAAACTATTCTCACTCACTCACTTTTTGCATGCTTGCTGGTACTGTTTATATGAATGCATGCTGCGAGTGTTTATATGCATGCGTGCTGCTACTGTTTATATGCATGCTTGCTGGTGCTTTTTATATGCATGCTTGCGGGTACTGTTTATATGCATGCTTGCTGCTACTTTTTATATGCATGTTTGCCGCTACTGCTGCTACTGCTGCTACTGTTTATATGCATGTTTGCTGCTACTGTTTATATGCATGTTTGCTGCTACTGTTTATATGCATGTTTGCTGCTACTGTTTATATGCATAATTGCTGGTACTGTTCTTATGCAGGCTTGCTCCTACTGTTTATATGCATGCTTGTTGCTGCTGCTTATATGCATGCTTGCTGGTACTGTTTATATGCATGCTTGCTACTACTGTTTATATGCATGCTTGCCGGTACTGTTTATATGCATGCTTGCTGCTACTGTTTATATGCATTCTTGCTGCTACTGCTGCTACTGTTTATATGCATGTTTGCTGCTACTGTTTATATGCGTGCCTACTGCTACTGTTTATATGCATGCTTGCTGGTATTGTTTATATGCATGCTTGCTGGTATTGTTTATATGCATGCTTGCAGCTACTGTTTATATGCATGCTTTCTGCTACCTGTTTATATGCATGCTTGGTGCTACCTGTTTCAACTTGCGTACTTGTTTCTACCGTGTACATGTGTACGTGTTGCTGTTGTGGATACGATCATTTGTTGATGTTGTTGCTATATTTACAAACGTATACGTAGGAGTGAAAGACTATTTATAAGCTCACTGTTTCATGTAAAATATATCATAAAAAATGATACAATGTTCATACACAACATATGACCTACTGGTAATACCATGTTCATATACAACATATGACCTACTGGTCAAACCATGTTCATATACAACATATGACCTACTGGTAATATCATGTTCATATACAACATATGACCTACTGGTAATACCATGTTCATATACAACATATGCCCTACTGGTAATACCATGTTCATACACAACATATGACCTACTGGTAATACCATGTTCATATACAACATATGACCTATTGGTAATACCATGTTCATATACAACATATGACCTACTGGTAATATCTTGTTCATATACAACATATGACCTACTGATAATACCATGTTCATATACAACATATGACCTACTGGTAATATCATGTTCATATACAACATATGACCTACTGGTAATACCATGTTCATATACAACATATGACCTACTGGTAATACCATGTTCATACACAACATATGACCTACTGGTAATACCATGTTCATATACAACATATGACCTATTGGTAATACCATGTTCATATACATCATATGACCTACTGGTAATATCTTGTTCATATACTGGACTACTGGAAGACTATGTTCCTATAAGATAGCACAGATACAATTCCTTCATAGTAACGTCGTGAAGATGCGACCTGTGTAACACACTGCTATATGTTGCCAACCTGACACCTTCGTGATGACGGTCGCCGTGAAGCTGCTGATGTTGAGGGCGCAGTGGGGTCTGATGAAGTCCTGGAGAAGCACCCCGGACAGGGCGTTGATGCCGGAGGACAGGGTGCTGCAACGACAAGACGACGGCGGTCAGGATCAACATCTCGTTAACTGCCAGGGTAAAGACGGGATGTGGAGTAAGGCCACTCTGGGTATGAGTTAATGTACGGAGTGCTGACGTAACGGAATGGCATGATAGTTTACCTGAGACAGCCACTGAAGATGCAGGACAGGAAGATTCCAGGCAGACCAGGCAGGTGCCCCAGGATGTCCATCACGTACAGAGGAACCAGCTGAAACACATGAACAATCCAAGTGAAATGTGTGCTAATAATTGTTCATTGTTTTTCAATTAATCTTTAGACCACAGAAGATCAGGTTGAAGGTGAAATGTAAACAAGATGCATATTCACTTAATCTTATCAGTCAGCCGGCATGTCATGGGTGCATGAACGCACGATACAAGCTTGTCATGACATTGGTTCATGAACAAACGACACTAGCACGTCATGACACTGGTACATGAACAAACGACACTAGCGTGTCATGACATTGGTTCATGAACAAACGACACTAGCGTGTCATGGTATTGGTACACGAACAAACGACACTAGCACGTCATGACACTGGTACATGAACAAACGACACTAGCACGTCATGACACTGGTACATGAACAAACGACACTAGCACGTCATGACACTGGTACATGAACAAACGACACTAGCACGTCATGACACTGGTACATGAACAAACGACACTAGCACGTCATGACACTGGTACATGAACAAACGACACTAGCACGTCATGACACTGGTACATGAACAAACGACACTAGCACGTCATGACACTGGTACATGAACAAACGACACTAGCGTGTCATGACACTGGCACATGAACAAACGACACTAGCACGTCATGACACTGGTACATGAACAAACGACACTAGCGTGTCATGATATTGGTTCATGAACAAACGACACTAGCGTGTCATGATATTGGTTCATGAACAAACGACACTAGCGTGTCATGATATTGGTTCATGAACAAACGACACTAGCGTGTCATGATATTGGTTCATGAACAAACGACACTAGCGTGTCATGATATTGGTTCATGAACAAACGACACTAGCGTGTCACGGTATTGGTTCATGAACAAACGACACTAGCGTGTCATGATATTGGTTCATGAACAAACGACACTAGCGTGTCACGGTATTGGTTCATGAACAAACGACACTAGCGTGTCATGATATTGGTTCATGAACAAACGACACTAGCGTGTCATGATATTGGTTCATGAACAAACAAGACTAGCGTGCCATGATATTGGTTCATGAACAAACGACACTAGCGTGTCATGATATTGGTTCATGAACAAACGACACTAGCGTGTCATGATATTGGTTCATGAACAAACTAGACTAGCGTGTCAAGATATTGGTTCATGAACAAACGACACTAGCGTGTCATGATATTGGTTCATGAACAAACGACACTAGCGTGTCATGATATTGGTTCATGAACAAACGACACTAGCGTGTCATGATATTGGTTCATGAACAAACAAGACTAGCGTGTCAAGATATTGGTTCATGAACAAACAAGATTAGCGTGTCATGACGTCGGTTCATGAACACACATGGCATCTGTTCGTGAATACCTGGTGTATTCTCTGTTATTTCATCGACGTGTTGACTATATCTGGTTTTTTAACTAATATGTTTAGCCATCGCTGCACATTAGCAAAATAAGACCTCGACGATGCATTTTGTTTCCCTGCAGTAAAGCGAAACATAATCATTCAACCACAAAGTTGTCATGGAAATGGTCCATGGTGTCCTAGCACCTGTGTATAATAGTGTGGGGTTTTACGTATCAAGTTTGTATAAATTCAGTTATTATCCAGTTGGAAACACACAATCATCGTATTTCTGAACGCTTTTTTTCAAATATACGCAAATGAGATCACCAAGTAGGAACTACTTGTAGCCCTATACCTCGAGGCAGTCTCTGCTCGGTAAATGCAAACACTGTGTACATTCACAATATGTTTAAATGGGTCTTTCCAGATGTTATACAGACAAACACGACTGCGAATAAGTTTCCACCATATGATTAACCTAATATATTGGGAGGTTCACTCCAATAGTGTATTCATGCGCTGTTTTTGAAGTGACTTCACCGAGTGAAAAGTAGGAGGTCAACCTAAGTGTTTTGAAATTTGAGGAAGTCTACCTGCATAATATATACCTCTTATTTAAGATGGAACCGACAGCTTCAATCCAATATGCATCAGTTCATGTCAATAGTTCGAGTGACAAGACATTTGGCGATGCCAAATTAAGTCGAAGAAGTAAAACCAAATTAAACAGTTAACATTGATGACGCCCAGGGCTTTCTGACCATTCCTCATCTGATACACATCAGCTAACAGGGGAGTACAGAAGCGTTATACGTCCTCACCTCGTCTGTTTCGCCGATCAGGTTTAACTGTAGTGGGTCACATCCCTCGTAGAAAGCGAACAGAAGCACTCCGATCATGCAACACAGACTGACGACAACAGCCAGCCCCAGGCCGTTCAGCCACATTGCACTATAAATATACAACACAGACTGACGACAACAGCCACATTGCACTATAAATATACAACACACACTGACGACAACAGCCACATTTCACTGTAAATATACAACACAGACTGACGACAACAGCCACATTTCACTGTAAATATACAACACAGACTGACGACAACAGCCACATTTCACTGTAAATATACAACACAGACTGACGACAACAGCCACATTTCAATGTAAATATACAACACAGAATGACGACAACACACACATTGCACTATAAATATACAACACAGACTGACGACAACAGCCACATTTCAATGTAAATATACAACACAGAATGACGACAACAGCCACATTTCACTATAAATATATTACACAGAATGACCACAAAAGCCACATTGCACTGTAAATATATTACACAGAATGACGACAACAGCCACATTGCACTGTAAATATATTACACAGAATGACGACCATATATTCATGTTTGCATGTTACCTAATAAACATGTTACCGAAAATACATCTTTATGGTATCTTTTACACGTGTTTACTTGTTGCCGTATATATATGTTACTTGTTATCATATATACACGTTTACGTGTTGCCTTACGTGCGACTAACGGGATCGGGTGGTCAGGCTCGCTGACGTGGTTGATGCATGTCGTCGTATCCCTATTGCGTAGCCCGCTCACGTTGTCAATCACTGGATTGACCACATAGGCCGGACTCCCCGTAGTAGCGGGCAATGATTGACCATATTGGCAGGACTCTCCGTAGTAGCGGGCAATGATTGACCACATAGGCCGGACTCCCCGTAGTAGCAGGCAATGATTGACCACATTTGTCGGACTTCCCGTAGTAGCAGGCAATGATTGACCACATTGGTCGGATTTCCCGTAGTAGCAGGCAATGATTGACCACATTGGCCGGACTTCCCGTAGTAGCAGGCAATGATAAACCACACTGGTCGGATTTCCCGTAGTAGCAGGCAATGATTGACCACATTGGTCTGACTCCCCGTAGTAGCAGGCAATGATTGACTACATTGGTCGGACTTCCCGTAGTAGCAGGCAATGATTGACCCATTGGCCGGACTCCCCGTAGTAGCAGGCAGTGATTGACCACATTGGTCGGACTCCCCGTAGTAGCAGGCACTGATTGACCACATTGATCCTACTCCGTTTTTTAGGAGGAATGATTGACCACATTGGCCGGACTCCCCGTAATAGGAGGCAGTGTGAAGCAGTGTGAAGCAGTGTGAAGCAGTGTGAAGCAGAGTCTTCTTGTCCTCCACCCCAGAGATGCTCCCGCAGGACATCAAGTCACGCAATACCTATTCCCCCTTCTCTCTCGTTTTGGGTCCAAACATCTCCCGTACCAGACTACTAAAACATACGTTTAATTCCCTTTGGACTATCAACAGTTTATGTCCTACATTTGTGCTTTCCTGAGTGAAGGGCAGGCAAACACACGCTGTATCTGGCACTGGTTCACAGAGTAGTAGGCCATCCACGTGATGCCTCCACCGACCACCACCGACCAGAAGGACAGGCGGGTGCGGGGGTCAACGGTGAATCTGCAACAACAGCAAGAGTTCGTGCAGGTTTGAAGGGAATCGTTCAAGAAACATACATTCTGACTAATGAAAAATGGAATATATTTGGAACATGTTACTTCACAGCTCATGATTTAAATTTAACTACTAGTGGTTGCCAAGACGCATACAGGGGATGGCTCTATTGTTGACAATAACTTTAGTCAGTTATTCAATTCTGGGCCCAAATATCGCGAATAACCTGCTACCTATTGGGATCACAACTTTACAATCACTGTGGATGCTCGCAAGGTAAGTGCCAAAAAACAGGGGCAAGTAGGTGAGACGAACTTGCCAAATGTCTAGCAGACTGGGTTAACTCAGTGCGTGATGTATACATCGGTAGAATGGACAAATTGAACAAAATATACAGAATTGGAATAAATCCGTTCTGTCCCAGCCAACTGTCATCCACAGTCTGGCTATTGTACATGACAAGCTTGTGGTTGTTCCCACTGAGAAGGCCTTGCATAGCATAAGCGTTATACGTAAGCATCACTACTTTTTTAACGCTTGGTAAAATAAATTGGTACAAATAATACAACATATAAGGCGGGGGTGTTAACTGGGCGTAGCATCTGCTGACACCACGTATCACGAAATCATGGCTTTGTCCATTCTTAATGTGTATTGGAATGCCAAGATTCATAAAACCCTAACCCTAACCCTAACCCTAACCCTGACCCTGACCCTAACCCTAACCCTAACCTAACCCTAACCCTGACCCTGACCCTGACCCTGACCCTAACCCTAACCCTAACCCTAACCCTAACCCTAACCCGGACCCTAACCCTAACCCTAACCCTAACCCTGACCCTAATCCTAACCCTAACCCTAACCCTGACCCTGACCCTGACCCTGACCCTAACATCCGTACACAGAGAGCTATATTTGCTTGATCCAGCACATGCACCATCCAATTAGGGAAGAATAATTATTTTTAGTGAATCGAAAACCTCTATTTGGAAGTTGTGTACTACGGCGGCTGTTGTTCTGAAGGAATATCTACTTGGTTCTGAACACTTAGAAATCACCGGATTATTTACTCTTGGAAGTTTATCCTGGAGTGTTCCGAGGCAATCTCCCACGCCCTTCCGAATCCTCCAATGACGATCGACCCTTGTATCACAACAGACAGAAGGCCGACCAGGATGATGACTGCCTGGAAACTGTCGGTCCACAGAACAGCCTTCATCCCTCCCTGAAACACACACACTACTTACTGATGGAGGCTGCACACGTCACACCAGTGTCACTGATGAGTGCAAGCGAAAGTGTTTTGTTTGTTTGTTTGTTTTTTGTTATTTAGCGCCGCCCTCAGCAGTATTCCAGCTATATGACGGCGGTCTGTAAATAATCGAGTCTGGACCAGACAATCCTGTGATTGACAAAATGAGCATCGATTCACGCAATTGGGATACAATGACATGCATCAACCAAGTCAACGAGCCTGACCACTCGATCCCCGTTAGTGGCCTCTTACAACAAGTATAGTCACCTTTTACGGCAAGCATCTGTTGCTGAAGATCTATTCTACCCCGGATATTCACGGGTCTAGCGGAAGTGAAAGTGTAAACACACATACAGTTGACATGAAGAAATGGCTGGTAAACAAATGTTCATTGCCATGGTTACGTAAGAACATGCTCTCATGTACTGTCCCCCGTTCCAACAGTCCCTGATGCTAGTCTATACTCTTGTTAGATGCATTGCCCCGCACCCAAGGAAGACTCTGACCCGGCACCAGACACGTGTCTTCAACCGATGTCGCCTTCAACAGCTCTCCCATTACAGGCAACCGTAACAGGATCCGCTCATCTGGAATTCGAATTCCAAACCATAATCCTCATTATCAGAACCAGGATTTTGTTCTTTAGATATTAAGCCTTTTCCTGCACGTGTAACTAATACTTGTGTTATAACAGAAAATTAAACGGACAACATAACTCCTACAGACACTAAAGTAGCATGAACGTACTCACAAAGAGTATGGTTTTACGCCGCGTTTAGCAATATTCCAGGAATATCACGGATGGGAACACCAAAAATGGGCTTCACACATTGTCCCAATGTGGGGAATCGAACCCGGGTTTTCAGTATGGCCACACGAACATTCACGTGCATACACACATTCACGTACATACATTTATTATATATGCATGCGTACCAACGCATACATACCTATCAATACATGTGCACACGTACACGTGCATGCGGCGTATCTTACCACTGACGTGTAGAGCGTGACCAGGACCCCTACAGACAATATTGACACCCACATGTCCAAACCTGAAACTGAAATAGATGATGAGGATGAAATGGAGATTTTACGTGCGCTTTCCGACATTATGCGTATTTCTCACTAAAAAGTAATCGCAGGAATATGAATATTTGCATATTATTGCTGACAATGGAGACGGTATGAGCTATCAGTTGGGATGGAGACGGTAGAAGTTATCAATTGAAATAGAGACGGTATGAGTTATCAATTGAAATAGAGACGGTATGAGTTATCATTTGAGATGGAGACGGTATGAGTTATCAATTGAGATGGAGACGGTATGAGTTATCAATTGAGATGGCGACGGTATGAGTTATCAATTGAGATGGCGACGGTATGAGTTATCAATTGAGATGGAGACGGTATGAGTTATCAATTGAGATGGAGACGGTATGAGTTATCAATTGAGATGGCGACGGTATGAGTTATCAATTGAGATGGAGACGGTATGAGCTATCAGTTGAGATGGAGACGGTATGAGTCATAAATTGAGAGAGATACGGTATGAGTTATCAGTTGAGATGGCGACGGTATGAGTCATAAATTGAGAGAGATACGGTATGAGCTATCAGTTGAGATGGAGACGGTATGAGTTATCAATTGAAATAGAGACGGTATGAGTTATCAATTGAGATGGCGACGGTATGAGCTATCAGTTGAGATGGAGACGGTATGAGTTATCAATTGAGATAGAGACGGTATGAGTTATCAATTGAGATGGCGACGGTATGAGCTATCAGTTGAGATGGAGACGGTATGAGTTATCAATTGAGATGGAGACGGTATGAGTTATCAATTGAGATGGAGACGGTATGAGCTATCAATTGAGATGGAGACGGTATGAGTTATCAATTGAAATAGAGACGGAATAAGTTATCAATTGAGATGGAGACGGTATGAGCTATCAATTGAGATGGAGACGGTATGAGTTATCAATTGAAATAGAGACGGAATAAGTTATCAATTGAGATGGAGACGGTATGAGTTATCAATTGAAATAGAGACGGAATAAGTTATCAATTGAGATGGCGACGGTATGAGTTATCAATTGAAATAGAGACGGTATGAGTAATCAATTGAGATGGCGACGGTATGAGTTATCATTTGAGATGGAGACGGTATGAGTTATCAATTGAGATAGAGAGTGTCTCTCTCTTCTCTCATAATCATGGCTACTCACATGTCTTCAACGCAAGTGACGGAGCGTAGAGAACAGTCCCTAAATAGAATATCTGAAAATAAAGTTAAACATATATTCGCCAACATTTGTCAACGCTATCCTCACTCCAGGGATCTTTCGAAACTACAAGCAGTGGATTTGGGAACGATAATGTGATAATCTGGGGGGTGGGGTGGGTGGGTGGGGGTGGGGTTATTGGTCCCCCCATAAATAGTTATGCTTCAAACCGTTTGTAAAATATCACCCACACCCACACCCACACCCACCCCACACCCACCCCACACCCACACCCACACCCACACCCACACCCACCCCACACCCACACCCACACCCACCCAACACCCACCCCACACCCACCCCACACCCAACCCACACCCACCCCACACCTACACCCACACCCACACCCACCTCCTCCCTTCCGAGTATCAAATGGCTGGCCCCTTTAGGTACTACATGAAACCTGAACACGGTATATGCTCTGCTTTCACGTGTTACCATCAACACGAAATGCCATCAAATACATGCATGACAAGTCAGCAAGGTCAGCTATTAATGTAACGTTCAGTAATCACAACTTACTGTTTGAAACAACCAGCAGAAAGACACCAGTAGTCTCATAGCCGCCCCAAATCGCATTTCTATGTACTGAAACGGAAACAATTCACCTTCTTCGTCAAGAACATCCACCCCAGGAAATGCAGCACAGATCTGATTGATATTCATCTTTAGATAACAGCCCACTACTCTACTATAACAGCAGTGGAGTGAGTGAGTGATTATCGTTAACGTCGAATCAGCAATCTTGCAGCTATTGGCGGCGACGTAGCAATGGTTAGAATACATGACCTCACTGATCTGTTAAAATAAAAGTGTCAATTGGACGGACTGAAAGTAGTTCCGGCATTAAGCCATTTCACTTGATATAGTATCGTTTAAATATTTTAGATAGATATACTATTTAATTACAACATGAATCATGAAAAAAACATAATTGGTAATTTTTTGGTCTACCACACTGTACCGAAATATTGCATGTGTTTACAGGCTGACGTCGCATGGCAGAGTTCTGCTGTGCTGCGTCAGGCGATACATACTTACGGTGGTTTGCAAATTGTATGGATGGCGAGTGCTACCGGAAGGCCAGGTCGTGCTTAACCTTTTCGCGAACACCTGGTGTCATTGGTCCATTCATATAATAGCCACAGCTATTTTCCCTTTACGCCAAGTGGAATCTGTTTTGGCAGACAATCTATGCTGGTTATTCTCTTGCACTGACGGTTGATATTTACCTCGTAAGCGCTTGTGATACCAAGGTTGTGAAGGACAGGGTTGAAGACATGCGCCGAGCCCGCTACTGCGACCATCATGCCCAGGGCCAACCACCAGAACATGGTGTTATAGTTGTAGATTTCAGCTGGTAATCCTAGTAAGGTCAAGGCGGAAATGAACGTGACAACCAGGGACAAGGTTACCGGAAGCACGCCCATACTTCTTCCGGCGACAAGGAATTCTGACGGGTCATCACTTTTCCTGCTCTTTATGGCGAATACCAATCCTATACCAAGTGCACAGATGAGAGATGCTCCACACACAAAGAAATCCGCCATGCCCAGAGTTCTGGCATCACCGGAATGGATGCTGTAGGTGGACGCCATGCTGTATCCCTCCTAAACAAATCATACAAAAAAAGTGAGTGAATTTAGTTTTCAGCGTTTGTTTTTTGTTAGGCTCCAAACAGGATAGCAATGCTCTCTTGGGATTACCGGTACCCGTTACACCGACGACTTCTACGAAAAAGAAGAATACGACGTGTTATTTACAACAAAATCTAGCATAAAGTCTTTGAGAGACATTTAGAAGTTGGAGTACTAAGTAAGGATAAGGTATATGGATCAACAACTTCTTTATTACAATTAGGAGCGACGTTTCGGTGTAGGTTCTAACACCGTTATCAAACAAATGATATACAGAGTATGGTTGACAAGTATATATACAGGATAGGAGGCAGTGTTTACACAGTTGAGTAGGGTTAAGATGCAGTTACACTGGAGTGGAGAAGTCTGTTATGTACACGGACGGGTAAAACATGTTGGCCGGTGAAGCCTGTAATATAAACAAAAGGATGAAGCCAGTAATATAAACAACAAATGGATTATGACTGATTTGAGTCTTTGATGGGTGGATGGTACGTAATCTAAAATATCTTTTTAACGTGGAGTTTACACGATATGCGGCTTTTCCATAACTGTATGAGTGAGTGAGTTACTAGTTAACGTCACATCGGCAGCATCTCAGTCATATAGTGACGTATAACGGTATAACGGCAAATATTAACGTCCATACGTTTTCCATGAGTCTGTAGTCTTGACATGACGATATCGTTATAATCACCTTTCAGTGATCGGCCAATTGATCCATGACTATCACTTGTACTTGCCGCAGATATATTTATCACTTCGGAAATCTCTCCTGTCACGTTGATCGTGTCGGCCATTTTGACGTCCTGGCTTGATGTGACTGTATCACGACGAACATCACTGTCACTACTGAGGTAGTTCTCAACAGACATTCCTCATGATGCATTCGTTACCTTTCGCCCCTTTCCGTAACCTTCAAGAAGACTCGTACCCCTATCAAGTAATGTGCGAAAATACGACAAACCAATCAAAATGCGCGTATGACTTCAAGTTCTTCGGTCAAGGAATCCCTCAAGAATAATAACTGATTTTTGCACATGTCTTGCATCTAAAATATACCTAAGATACAGTTAAATGTGTTCAGTCATACTGTATAATACCGCATGTCCCGATGTGCTTTAAACTACATCTGAAATATATATAATATGCGGAAAAATATACGTGAATCATTAAACAACGAGTTGCAACTCTTTTAGCTATACCCCTTTGCGTTTAGACGGAAGCCGGTCGCCAAAATGGCTACGAGAGGGACACAAGTCGCTATTGGGCTTGTTCCGGGATAACACGAATTGGTCACGAATGCTCATTTAAGAAACTCAACGTATACATTTGGACCCAGCATTTTCCCTTTTTGCTACACGAACAAGCCTGTAACTCGCCTGTAACTAGCCTGCATGTGGATGTCGGTTCTAAAGACCAAGTGTTGCTACAGAAACACATAAAGACTGAACGCGTGTTACATGCACACGTTAAAGGTACAATAGCTAAAAACAAACGGCATTTCATGAGTAATCGTGTCATTGTTGCGGTATTCAGACGGTCGTGACGAGATATTCTGGTTGTAGGCTCTCGGGATGTTCGACTGCGAGGTGCGTGGGGTATGTTCCCAATCACCAGAGCGCTGGTTCAAAACGTTGTGTCCTACTTCGTTAATTAGTCTTACAGATGCCAGAAGTCAAGTAGAGCACGTGTTAACCCCCTTGGTGCTAGCAGTACACGTAGAGCACATGTTGACCCCCTTGGTGCTAGCAGTACATGTAGAGCACGTGTAAACCCCCTTGGTGCTAGCAGTACATGTAGAGCACGTGTTAACCCCCTTGGTGCTAGCAGTACATGTAGAGCACGTGTGAACCCTCTTGGTACTAGCAGTGCATCTAGAGCACGTGTTAACCCTCTTGGTGCTAGCAGTACATGTAGAGCACGTGTTAACCCCCTTTGTGCTAGCAGTACATGTAGAGCACGTGTGAACCCCCTTGGTGCTAGCAGTACATGTAGAGCACGTGTGAACCCCCTTCGTGCTAGCAGTACATGTAGAACACGTGTTAACCCCCTTGATGCTGGTAGTACATGTAGAACAAGTGTTAACCCCCTTGATACTGGTTGTTCATGTAGAACACGTGTTACCCCCTTGATGCTGGTTGTTCATGTAGAGCACGTGTTAACCCCCTTGATGACGGTAGTACATGTAGTACACGTCTTAATTTAACCCCCTTGATACTAGTAGTACATGTAGAGCATGTGTTAACCCCCTTGATGCTAGCAGTACATTTTGAGCACGTGCTAACCCCCTTGATGCCGGTAGTACATGTAGAGCACGTGTTAACCCCCTTCATGTCAGTAGTACATGTAGAACACGTCTTAACCCCCTTCATGCAGGTAGTACATGTAGAGCACGTGTTAACCCCCTTGATGCCGGCAGTACATGTAAAGCACGTGTTAACCCCCTTGATGCTAGCAGTACATGAAGAGCACGTGTTAACCCCCTTGATGCCGGTAGTACATGTAGAACACGTGTTAACCCCCTTCATGTCGGTAGTACATGTAGAACACGTGTTAACCCCCTTGATGCCGGTTGTACATATAGAACACGTCTTAACCCCCTTGATGCTAGCAGTACATGTAGAACACGTCTTAACCCCCTTGATGCCGGTAGTACATGTAGAGCACGTCTTAACCCCCTTGATGCCGGTAGTACATGTAGAGCACGTCTTAACCCCCTTGATGCCGGTAGTACATGTAGAGCACGTGTTAACCCCCTTCATGTCGGTAGTACATGTAGAGCACGTCTTACCCCCCTTGATGCCGGTAGTACATGTAGAGCACGTCTTAACCCCCTTGATGCCGGTAGTACATGTAGAGCACTTGTTAACCCCCTTCATGTCGGTAGTACATGTAGAACACTTGTTAACCCCCTTGATGCCGGTAGTACATGTAGAGCACGTGTTAACCCCCTTGATGCCAGTAGTTCATGTAGAGCACGTGTTAACCCCCTTGATGCCAGTAGTACATGTAGAGCACGCCTTAACCCCTTTGATGCCGGTTGTACATATAGAGCACGTGTTAACCATCTTGATGCTGGTTGTTCATGTAGAACACGTGTTACCCCCTTGATGCTGGTTTTTTATGTAGAGCACGTGTTAACCCCCTTGATACTGGTTGTTCATGTAGAACACGTGTTAACCCCCTTGATGCTGGTTGTTCATGTAGAGCACGTGTTAACCCCCTTGATACTGGTTGTTCATGTAGAACACGTGTTAACCCCCTTGATGATGGTTGTTCATGTAGAACACGTGTTAACCCCCTTGATGCTGGTAGTACATGTAGAACAAGTGTTAACCCCCTTGATACTGGTTGTTCATGTAGAACACGTGTTACCCCCTTGATGCTGGTTGTTCATGTAGAACACGTGTTAACCCCCTTGATGCTGGTAGTACATGTAGAACACATGTTTACCCCTTTGATGCTGGTGATACATGTAGAAGATGTGTTAACCCCCTTGATGCTAGTGGACCATGCATTTTCCCTTTTTCTTACACGAACATGTTTTTCCTCCCCTTGTTGTTACTTCAAGCTGGTAGTACATGTACTTTTTCCTTTCCATTAACCCTTCAACTGTTTACATGTTTACAAGTTAGGCTGTTGCCAGACCAATGATCATTATACGGGATTCCCACCAAAGTCCTAGCCAGGCATCTTCACAGGGCTAGCCAGTGTTGCACGCCCGGAGATCAGGGCAAGCCAGTGTTGCGCGCCCGGAGATCAGGGCTAGCCAGTGTTGCACGCCCGGAGATCAGGTCAAGCCAGTGTTGCTAGCCCGGAGATCAGGTCAAGCCAGTGTTGCGCGCCCGGAGATCAGGGCTAGCCAGTGTTGCACGTCCGGCGATCAGGGCAAGCCAGTGTTGCGAGCCCGGAGATCAGGGCTAGCCAGTGTTGCGCGCCCGGAGATCAGGGCTAGCCAGTGTTGAACGCCCGGAGATCAGGGCTAGCCATTGTTGAACGCCCGGAGATCAGGGCTAGCCAGTGTTGAACGTGCGGAGATCAGGGCTAGCCAGTGTTGCGCGCCCGGAGATCAGGGCTAGCCAGTGTAGAACGCCCGGAGATCAGGCACAGCAAACGAAATTTCATCATGTATCATGCAAATGAAACAGGAGCAATGGGGTTTAACGTCGCGTCCAAGATTATTGTACTTATAATGCGACGTGCATGTACATGTATGAGTGTGTGTCTGCTTGTACTTGTCCGCACTAATGCCGGTTTTATAGTGCTATCCCATTGAGATACCATGCGGCAGTTTAACATGAATACCCTACTCAGACACGGAAAACTGACTCCGAGCCGACCAGTTCTTGTTTTAGCACCTTATTGCTGAGCGCCAGATAGAGTGACAACAAGTACCATCTTTTACCGTCTTTCAGTGGATCTCTCCGGGCGGACGCTCTGCCATTAGACCACGGAGGCGGTCCCAGATGGAGTGACAACAAGTACCATCTTTTACCGTCTTTCAGGGGATCTCTCCGGGCGGACGCTCTGCCATTAGACCACGGAGGCGGTCCCAGATGGAGTGACAACAAGTACCATCTTTTACCGTCTTTCAGGGGATCTCTCCGGGCGGACGCTCTGCCATTAGACCACGGAGGCGGTCCCAGATGGAGTGACAACAAGTACCATCTTTTACCGTCTTTCAGTGGACCTCTCCGGGCGGACGCTCTGCCATTAGACCACGAAGGCGGTCCCAGATAGAGTGACAACAAGTACCATCTTTTACCGTCTTTCAGTGGATCTCTCCGGGCGGACGCTCTGCCATTAGACCACGGAGGCGGTCCCAGATAGAGTGACAACAAGTACCATCTTTTACCGTCTTTCAGTGGATCTCTCCGGGCGGACGCTCTGCCATTAGACCACGGAGGCGGTCCCAGATAGAGTGACAACAAGTACCATCTTTTACCGTCTTTCAGTGGATCTCTCCGGGCGGACGCTCTGCCATTAGACCACGGAGGCGGATTTATGCGAACGGTAAATCATATTCGAAATCATCAACAACTACCAGTTTAGCTTAATACAAAGATCGTCACGATATGGCTGAAATATTGCCGATGTGACGTTAAAGGGGAAGTGTACACGCAAAAATCACTTTCTTTCTTTTTCTAAACAAAACGCAATTTTAGAACTAGTTAGTATCTGTGTTTGAAAATATAAACTCATTTTTTCACAGTGAAAGTAGGAAGCTCACAATAGTGTGAAAATGATATGCCGTTTTGAGGCCTTCGTTCTACGAGCTAAACAGGCCTGAGTTATCCCCCTTAGATTATGACGTAATTGGTGCCAATTCAACTGGGTCCTGTCTATTCTCAACGCAAAAGATATCAAGTACCAGTTTGCGGTAAAACAACATGACCTACGACACACTACGGCGCAGTGGTGACTCAGCATAACAATATGCTGGCTGGCATCTGAGACGTTAGAATCACACACCTGTACCTACACCACATGAAGCGGCTCTAACATAGCATGATGACGTCATAATGTTAATCAATTGGCACCAATGACGTCATATTGCAAGGGGCATAAGCCATGGTGTTTTGGCTATGAAAATAGAACACTTGGTAAATGTGTAAAAATATCAATCGTTTTAATGCAAAACATATGTTATTTAATTGTGATATTTATATATTTTTGTCCATGACACTACTAGGTTGACTCTTTTAATGTGGAAAAAGTACAAGAAAAATAGGTTCATGTCCGTGTGAACTTGGCCTTTAAGCTTTAACTCACTCACTCACTCAATACAAAGAGAGGATTCATATATTATGCAAACAAATACTCTGCTTATTGAAAATCACATAAATGATGATATTCATTGTATTTTCCGAATCACCCCCACACGATTAAGATATCGTAAAAGAAAATGTCTTCATGACAGTGCTTAATATTTGGGTTCCTACTGTTGTGATGCCTTTAAAAGTAAAGCCCGATGGTGTCCTCATTCACTGGATGAGATACCAAAGGTACTTGGCATGGCTACTTGGATGTCCGCTTTGTCCATCATGCCTCAGTGGCAACACATACAGCTAGCAGAACCTCCTTGAATTAAATAGCAATGTACCTTATTGACATCAAAACCCACCCCTCGTCACACGTCTCAATCAAGCAGTGTGAAAAAATACCACCGAAAGCCCGTCCCCCTGAGGAAATTGACCCCGATCATACATGCATATTACCAATACCTCTTGAATCCATGGGGCCACACACATATATTGTTCACAAATATTAAAAACCGATGGAATATTTACACTTACTTGCGAGGTTATTTCCGTGAGTCGAAGTCCTGACTGCAACTTCTTGTGTGATGTTACCTCAGACGGTGTCGCACATGTGCATGACTTAGAACCTGAAGGTGAAGGTCAAGCGGAAAAGCACCACAAACTGCAGGTACGTTGATTGTGTGACATATGTTAGTGTACGAGTTACACGCCTCTGTATGTCAGTGTACGAGTGACACGCCTTTGTATGTTAGTGTACGAGTGACACACCTTTGTATGTCAGTGTACGAGTGACACGCCTTTGTATGTCAGTGTACGAGTGACACGCCTCTATATGTCAGAGTACAAGTGACACGCCTCTGTATGTTAGTGTACGAGTGACACGCCTTTGTATGTTAGTGTACGAGTGACACGTCTCTTTATGTTAGTGTACAAGTGACACGTCTCTTTATGTTAGTGTACAAGTGACACGCCTCTGTATGTTAGTGTACAAGTGACACGTCTCTTTATGTAAGTGTACGAGTGACACGCCTCTGTATGTTAGTGTACGAGTGACACGCCTCTGTATGTTAGTGTACAAGTGACACGTCTCTATATGTAAGTGAACACGTGACACGCCTCTGTATGTGAGTGTACAAGTGACACGCCTCTGTATGTTAGTGTACACGTGACACGCCTCTATATGTGAATGTACAAGTGACACGCCTCTGTATGTTAGTGTACAAGTGACACGCCTCTGTATGTTGGGGTTCAAGTGACACGCCTATGTATGTTAGTGTACAAGTGACACGCCTCTATATGTTAGTGTACAAGTGACACGCCTCTGTATGTTGGTGTACAAGTGACACGCCTCTATATGTAAGTGTACAAGTGACACGCCTCTATATGTAAGTGTACAACTGACACGCCTCTGTATGTTAGTGTACAAGTGACACGCCTCTATATGTTAGTGTACAAGTGACACGCCTCTGTATGTTGATGTACAAGTGACACGCCTCTATATGTAAGTGTACAAGTGACACGCCTCTATATGTTAGTGTACAAGTGACACGCCTCTGTATGTTAGAGTACAAGTGACACGTCTCTATATTTTAGTGTACAAGTGACACTTCTCTGTATGTTAGTGTACAAGTGACACGCCTCTATATGTCAGTGTACAAGTGACACGCCTCTATATGTTAGTGTACAAGTGACACGCCTCTGTATGCTGCTGTACAACTGACACGCCTCTATAAGTATATGTACCAGTGACACGCCTCTGTATGTTGGTGTACAACTGACACGCCTCTATATGTAAGTGTACAAGTGACACGCCTCTGTATGTTAGTGTACAAGTGACACGCCTCTGTATGTTGGTGTACACTGACACGTCTCTATATGTAAGTGTACAAGTGACACTTTTCTGTATGTTAGTGTACAAGTGACACGTCTCTATATGTAAGTGTACAAGTGACACGCCTCTATATGTAAGTGTACAAGTGACACTTCTCTGTATGTTAGTGTACAAGTGACATGTCTCTATATGTAAGTGTACAAGTGACACGCCTCTGTGTGTAAGTGTACCAGTGACACGCCTCTATATGTAAGTGTACACGTGACACGCCTCTATATGTTAGTGTACAAGTGACACGCTCTGTATGTTAGTGTACAAGTGACACGCCTCTATATGTCAGTGTACAAGTGACACGCCTCTATATGTTAGTGTACAAGTGACACGCCTCTGTATGCTGCTGTACAACTGACACGCCTCTATAAGTATATGTACCAGTGACACGCCTCTGTATGTTGGTGTACAACTGACACGCCTCTATATGTAAGTGTACAAGTGACACGCCTCTGTATGTTAGTGTACAAGTGACACGCCTCTGTATGTTGGTGTACACTGACACGTCTCTATATGTAAGTGTACAAGTGACACTTTTCTGTATGTTAGTGTACAAGTGACACGTCTCTATATGTAAGTGTACAAGTGACACGCCTCTATATGTAAGTGTACAAGTGACACTTCTCTGTATGTTAGTGTACAAGTGACATGTCTCTATATGTAAGTGTACACGTGACACGCCTCTGTGTGTAAGTGTACCAGTGACACGCCTCTATATGTAAGTGTACACGTGACACGCCTCTACATGTTAGTGTACAAGTGACACGCCTCTGTATGTGAGTGTGCTAATGACAAGCCCCATATAAGTCAGTAGACAAGTGACACGCCTCCTATGTCGTAGTGGAATCGTTCCATCGCCCATGCATCAGATTGTAATATGCTCAAACTGCGATCCACGTAGAAGGATGTCGGTTGATATTCTAAAGCAGATTGAGCTTCGACGCTCTACCGACAACACGTTGGTCATATCGTTCCTTACTTTATGTACTTTATGTTGTGTAATTGGTGTCACTGCATACCTAACACGTTCTTCAGTCACATCACAGCACATGAGATGACGCTTCAAGTCCCGTGAAACACCTCAGCCACGTGGCACGTGTTGTACTCGCCATGCTATAGTACAGAGGATATAATACACGGGAGTGTCAGCCTGGGAATATTGCACTCCGCTGCCTTGGTTCATTCAGTGGCACACTCGCGGCAATCCGTGGAGACAATTCTAACCCCCTACCTCACACGCATGCCCAAGGACTGTGATATAATCAGGTTAAAAGTGTCATTGTACATTGTACAGGGTGCACAAGCACGGATCCCAGTAAAGATACGTGCCATATTAACAACGTCAATTTAATTTCAACTGTTATTTTTTGTGTGTGTACAAATTGAGTGTATGGAGTATGTTTCGTTTAATCTCAGTCTTCATTGTACACCCCGGTGTTATGTTCATACGAGTAGAAACAAAGCATCCAGCGTGTATTGTGCCGGCAAGACAACGCCTAGCCCTGCTCCAAAGTTGTACTGAAAGAAAAGTCCATGGATGTGTCAGGACTCCAGGCTGTTTTAGAGACAACTTGTTCTTAATAATATTACTTACATCATCTAGAAATTATGATTTTAACTAATATTTACAATGTCTTAGATACATCGTTAACCTCGTTTTATTCGAGTCGATTTGATTGGATAACCGTGACCTCGCCAAGGTCATAGACGTTGCCATTTCTACAACGCCCCAGCAACGTCATGCTGCTGCTACCGTGATCGCCTGAACAAGGAACAGATAGGCCACAGTAACGTGACGTGTTGTGGGTGGTGGTTATTTATGTCTGACGTCGTTCTCAGTCAAGTGAGTGAGTAATGATTGACGCCGTTTTTATCAATATTCCATCAATATCACGGCGGGGAACACCAGAAATTGGCTCCACAAATTGTGCCTATGTGGGGAATCATACCCGGGTCGTCAGTGTGACGAGCGAACGCTCTAACCACTGAGCCCCCTGAACGCCCATCAGTCAAGATGAAGCTCGGAAGACATAAAACACTGCATGTTGTCATCAACTGTCATTCGTATCTCAGATGTTTATTTGTCCTTGAGTTTAACTACCACACCCATATTAATGTTGCAGAAGCCTTGTAAGAACAGGTAAGGTTTTCAGTAGTGTATTTTATTTAGTTTCAGAGATTATAATGTTCAATAATATAATGTTATAATAGTGAACGAGAAGTGGCGGGAGGATGTGTGCGCTTTACACATGATGCCTGACAGTTTTGTAACAGTGCTAAAATTGTGAAATTTTATTCAACTTTTATTGTGAAATTCGCCTTCAATTCAAGTTTTCGGTTAACCTTTTAAGACCTGTTTGTCTTTGAAGGTCAGTGACTTTTGCTTGTTACTTTGCAATTTTCGTTGAACTTTGCTAAAAAATTGCCTTTTAAAATTGTCTTTAACTTTGTATGAATATCTTGATTGAACAGTGAACTTATATTCTATGTATTCGAAATGTCGTTCGAATCTAAGCTGCATATTATTCAAGTTTTACTGACATAGATTAACTATAGTAATTTATATGCGTGCGTGTCATGTAGATATATTACTATTCCACAATCAGCGTTCGTATCCCACATGTTTATTTATCTGGTTTAAAACTACTAGGCAAATAATTATTAATCGCAGGTGTCGTGGATGCTTCATAATTATCATGTTTCAATGTGAATAGCGTGCATTATAATAATGTATGAATTATTTGTCCGTGTATCTGTAGGACCAGTATTCATATGTGAGTCGTGTTATTTACCTTATTGTATGCTGTATCGTTAGTACAGTGGTTTCATAATGCAACAACATTAAATGCGTCCATATGCATTAAGATGATCCAGTTACTCGATATAATTACGTTATGTATATTTGTTTGCGTTTTTATGCCTGATAAATACGGTCCTAGAATATAACTTATATCCGATATAAATTACAGTTTACAAGCAATTTCTCTGTTTGGTCGAAATCTCCAATAAGGTTCATAAACATTCACACTGGAATATATTTTCACTAATAATCAGTTTTAATTCATATAATTCGTGTGATTTATGTAAGCTTTGTGTAATCTTTCATATGAATGCTTTTTGTAAACATTGTTCAGATGTTATTTATGAGTACCTTAAATGTATACCAAACATTTTGAGTAATTTAATGTGAATTAATTATAACGCCTGCATTATATCAAAGGTTTGCTATTATATAACAACGAATATCTTAACAGGTTTTTTTATAACTGTTTAATTGATTGTCTGATTATGTCTTTGTGTTTGATGATGATGAAGTTTGTCTGATTATGTCTATATTCTTGATGATGATGAGGAAAACATTTAATAAAATAATTCCTGCCTTACCTGAAAACCTCTCTCTGTTTATCTTTGAAGGTGTGTTGATCCCGTTGATCCCCGAAAGTCGTTCTAGGTTTTGATCAGTTTTAGTGTAAAAACTAACTCAGTATCAACAACAGGTTATGGATCTCAAACTACGTGACCTCACTCTATTGTTTTAACTATCCATTTTTTTCAGGGTTGGACATTTAGTTGTCAGTTGTGCATACGTGCATGATCTTGATCCCACACTTCAATCAATGCGCACTTGTATTGACGTTGACGAAACCATTTTCATTTTAGTGAGTGAGTGAGTGAGTATGGTTTAACGCCGCTTTTAGCAATATTCCAGCAATATCACGGCGGGGAACACCAGAAATGGGCTTCACACATTGTACCCATGTCGGGAATCGAACCCGGGTCTTCGGCGTGTCGAGCGAACGCTTTAACCACTGGGCTACCCGACCGCCCC